GACTCTCCAGAGTAGGTATTATTACTAACTCCATATAGCAGATGAAAAACCAAGTCACGGTTTATTTATGAAACTGCCCTGAGTTGTGTGAAAAAATGTTTAACAGCATAGAGTTGTGATGCAGAAATCTGGTGGTCATGTGGAAAATGAATTGTAGAAAGGAAAAGTTACAAATGCTTATTATAAGAGAATCATCAGGGAAAGGAAACAAGGGCCCAAATTAAACCAGTGTCATGGAATAGAAAGAAAGGAGTGGATGTGCAAGCCATAACTGAGAGATGCCTCTGAGCTGCTGATCCCAAGTATCCTCCAGAAAGAGGAACAACAGATAGGCATGGATTTGGCTCAGCTTTGGGGTACAGTGAGTGTCTAATAAGACTGTGGGTCCCCAAGAAGACATCTCACAAGCATTTACAACTTAGTGACTTGATCTGGGGAAACTACAAACCCATGAGGAGTCTGTATTAAGTATGAGTGGAGATATCTATCTGTGGGGATAGATAGATAGATGATAGACAGACAGACAGACAGATAGATAGGATGATTAAGTGGAATGAGGGCAGGTCTGAAGACAAGGACGCCTTGGTAGATACCCACTTAAGAGAAGAAAGTGGAGCTTATGAAGAAGTAACTCCAAGAGGGAGCCGACTCAGGCAATTACCTTGTTTGGAAAATGAGTTTCCAAAAGAAAAGGGAGTTGAAGGTACTTGGCTGAAGAGTCCATGTGTAATTATAAATAATAAATGACTTGAGGGCTGAAGATGTGGCTCAAGTGGTAAAGTGCTTGCCTAGCAAACTTGAGGCCCTGAGTTCAAACCTCAATAATGGAAAAAAAATTTTTTTTAGCTTTCCTGAGGAGCTAGTGGAGTGTCTCAAGTGCTAGAGTGCCTGCCTAGCAAGTGTGAGGCCCTGAGTTCAAACGCCAGAAATTGACAATATGATCAAAAGAATTAATATATAATATTTTATATATTTGGAAAATGCACTTCTAGAAATTTACTCTTTTTGGTTTTGGCAGTACTGGGGGTTTGAACTCAGGGCCTGTGCTTCCTAGGCAGGCACTCACCACTTGAGCCATGCTCTAGAAATTTATATAGAAAAGAAATATGGACATTCAGTAAGTTACAGTTATAGGCTTATTTGTCAAAATTATGTTCAAAAGGTTGATGGGTATGGAGATAGAGCCCTTGCCTAGCATGACCAAGGCTCTCGGTTCCATCCCCAGCGCTGAAAAAAAATTATTCAAAACAGTAAAAATTTGTAAACACATAAATGTCCAACAGTGGAGAATATTTAATGAGAGGTAAAAACGTTTGTGGTTGCTTGTAATGATAAATAGGTTACACGAGTTACATTCTAAAAATATATAAATTCATAATAAAACCCTCCTGTACAACTCACATATGCTAATGAAATGTTTAAAAAGAAAGGTTACAAAACTATCTGCAGTATGATTTGTTAAAAGGAAGACACATAGATCCTTGTAACTGCAAGGATCTGCTGCCAGAATTTCATGAAAAAGCCAACAGACTGGGGGAAAGATGAGGGCAGTAAACCTTTTGAAGATGGGGAAGATGAAGGTAGGCAGAAGAAAAAAGGAGGGAGATGAAGGTAAAAAGGGATATGGCAGAGGATGTTGTTGGACCAAGACCTCCACAAGAGCAGAGCATTGATGGAGAAATTGCCTGGCCTGTACTGAGGGCCATGATGTACACCATGGCTTTTCAGTTGAAGGAAAGACTGAAGGATGATACATACCTTAGTTTCTTGAATGAGCAAAGGCAGCAACTGTTTTACCCAGTGCATCTTTGGAGTCAGGCACTGCTCCTTAGTACTACATGTTATCTCATTTAATCCTTGCAGGGTTCCCCTATAATACCTGCCATTTCACAAGCTGAGGCAAGATAATTGGCCCCAAGTGTCATCACTAGTAAATGGAAGAGTCAGGAGTTGAGCCTGGTTTATCCCAGAGATGGGGGAGGAAGGAGAAATGTTAATGTGGACCAGTGCAGGTGGTCCAGGTCATATCAGCACCATAGGCAGAAAGGAGGCATGGGGGAGAAGGTCCAGACAGATGTGGAGTGAAAAGTAAATGGCCAGATGTGTGAGATACTTCAGTGTGCATGATCAACCTTCATCTTAGGCAGAGCTCAGCTGCTTGGGTGAAAGGAAGGAATGAAAAGAAGGATTGAAGAATTGAAGGTGGGGAGGGAAACAACAGGTTTTGGTTAAAGTGGGCAGTTGTCCAGAGATAAGAGAGGAGGTATTTGTGTATAATATCAGCTAAGGAGGACGCTGGTAGAGTAAGAAATGTGCAAGTTTGGGAAAGGTGAAGGAGGTGGGAGCATTGGTGCTGAATCCAGAATGCAGTGGCAAATGTAGAGACCCCTGAATGGTGACAAATTCTTTTTTTAACATGCTGCAGGGAATTTGCCAAAGGGAAGAGGTCCTAAATGGAGCAGAAATAGAGGAAAACAGGCAAGGGATAAATATGTGCAGAATGAAGGAAGGAAATTAGGGAAAAGTGAGAGAAAGAGCATGGAAAGTGCGCTCCAGCACCACCCCATGATATGGGTTTGGGGATGGTGGCCTGCAGCAACCCCAAACAGGAGTGGAAAGGGGTGGAATCTGGGTCAGGTCAGGACCACTGGGAGGACCAGCTCTACTCAAGACTATGATCACACTTAAGTCAGGCTCACCTGTACTCTGTTTCATCTGTAAAATGGAGTTAAGGACAGACCGCTGGATTTCCAATTATTTGGAAAGCACTACGACAGGGGAAGGTGCTCTTGTTAGAAAAGTGTGTCGATTTAGATAGGAACAGGTATGAACGAAAGTAGACGTGACCAGTGTGGATGCATATCTAGGAATGGTCGGGTAAATTACGAGATTCTCTACCTACCACCTTAAGGAGTTCTTGGCCGCTGCCCAGCCTCACGGCGAGGGTTAAGCGGCAGGAAACTGCGACTGGGCCGGTGGGATTCACTTGAGGTAGAGGAGCAAGGCCCTAGGTCCAGTTCAACTTAGCTGCAGTTCCTGTCTTCTCTGTCGCAGACCCCAAAACTTGGTCTGACACCCGCAGAACCCAGGCCCAGGCAGGGTTTAGCCAACGCATTTCTGCGGGGACCTTGCTTCAACAAAATCCCCCGTCATCTCATTCCACAGGAAACGAAAATCTCTTCCATCTGTGCGCCTGCCCAGCTCCACACCCCCGCCCCCTTAGTGATATGACTGGGTCGGGTCTTTTCCCCCATGCGCTTCCCCTTTTCCTAGACCAAGGGAGTAGAAATGAGTTGGTTAGGGACAGGAAAGCAGGACTGGGGAAAAATGGCCTGAGACAAAAAAAAAAAAAAAAAAAAAAAGGAGAGAGGAAGAGATGGTCACAGAGAGCCAAAAAGATCCGGAGAGGCCAGAATGAGACGCGGGCGCTCAGCGCGAATTTTGTAATAATTCCTTCTCTAAGCGCGTTTCGGGGACTTGGCCGCAGTGCCCAGAGCTGGGTCTCCCAGGACGCAAAAGGCTTCCTAGGTGAGGTCCCCTAGACTTCTCCTCCTCTCGCTGCTGCCCCCTCCCCACCTCGCCCAAGGGGGCCGGAACAGCGTCGGCGTGCAGGGGCTTTTCGGAGCAGTCAAGTGGAAAATAGACTTTAACCCGCTTTGTAGCTGCAGGGGCGCCGGGAGCGCTCTCCTGGACCAATGCTCTCGGCGTTCATGCGGGCCACTGCCAAGACCTGGCCTGGAGTCCCCGCAGAGTTGCGCAGCGCGCAAGGCCCCTGGCCACCCTGCGCCCTGATGCCCAACCAGGATATACGCACTCAGGCTGCGCTTGGGCTACTTCGCCTGACCCCTGCATGGACGAGAAAGCCGAACTCGCTTCAGTCCTCTTTCGCGGTGTGCGGGCAAGGGCCGAGTCCAACCTCCCCACCACAGCCCAGACCCCTGGAGGCCTCGGCACGGTGTTTTCTTGCGACCTGGAGGGCCCAGGTGGAAAAGTTTGCCGAGTACTAATTTTCATTGCCAATCGCCCTCTGACCCTCGCGATTGGTGCATGAAGAGAAAACTGGCCAGACCAGACTTGTCCGCAGTTCCACGGAGGTAAAAGGGAGAGAGAAGGGCGAAAGGAAAGAGGATGCTGCCACTGCCTTTCCAAGACGGCCGGTGTGTCCTCTGGGAAACCAACTCGAGGTGCTCGGTCAGCTCCAATTTAGGGCACAATGTCCCCGAGGTCCTGGCCTAGCCTGACCAGCGAACACTTAAAACACCAACCAGAGAAGGCAAGGAAAGCAGATCGCATTACGCCTGAGGCCCACCGTGCGGGTCGAAGCCACACGCCGCGCCAAAGCTGGGTAAACGGCAGCTTCTCGAGCGCCACGAAGTGCTGCTTGGGAGCTGCGGGATGACGGATCCTGCGGCTTCTCCCCACGCTGCACCGGCCTGGTCCCTGGTGGAAAAGAATGAATGTCCCATTTCCAGAGCTGTCCCCCCAAGACATCCAGAAAACATGAAACCTCAAGAACAAGGCCGCTGCTTCAGATAGCGGCTCCGGAAATGTATGGTGGGTAAATGGGAGGTCTTGCAGGTCAGGGAAACAGGGAGATGGTTCTCTGGAGAACCTATTTGTTGGACCCTAAACACCCACCCTACGTTCGGATCCAAGTTCTCTAAGAACTGAAATGACATCCTAGGACGATGGGAGAGGGTTCTACTGAGTTATGCACGAAGAAAGGGGTTGGAGTTTCTTCTCAAGCCCCACTCTCTTAGTAATCTCACTTCGGCCCCAGCGTGGGTGCAGATCGCTATGGTAGCCACTAGACTCAGCTAAAGGGCGGAGTAGCGAGCAGAAGCCAGTGTTGGGGCGAAGGACTGGGAGGAGTAGAGGGGTGGGTGGGGGAGGGAGTAGATTATCCGCAAAGGTTCCAGTCCGGTTTTTGCCTCCGACTGCGGACTCCATCCCCACCCGCCGTCCCTCGCCCCGCCCTGCCCCGCCCCCCACCTTGGGGCAGGTGAGCGGTGGCCAATGGGCGAGCGCGGGGCAGGTGCCCGCTAACTCGCGCCTAGCAGCGCTGCGGCCCCGGCTTGGCGGGGCAGTGCTGGGAAGGACACTGGCGGGGGTCGGTCGTGGCGTGACTTGGAAGGAAGAGCGGCGAGCACAGCCCCTTGGGTGGTAGAGGCAGCTCGCAGCGTCGCACACAGCCCGCGCCAGCGCCGGCGCCGGTGCCGGTGCCGGGAGCAGCCCGCTCGGCCGCAGGGGCCGACGCTCCTGGCTGTGTGCAGTGGCCCGACTCCTAGCTAGCTCGCTCGCACACCCCTCACCTCTCCGCGCCTGGCTTGCAGGCGAGGGCCCAGAGCAGGCGGGCGGGCGGGCGGGCGGGCGGGGGAGGTGAGGGGTGCGGGTGTGTGTGCATGTGCTTGACTGGGTGCACACCCCGCAAGGCGGCAGCGCCAGGACGCGGAGCGCTCTCCGGAGCCCCGCTGCCTCGCACGACTGCGGCGGCCGCAAGCATGTTCCAGCCTGCGGCCAAGCGCGGCTTCACCATAGAGTCCTTGGTGGCCAAGGATGGTGGCACCGGCGGGGGCACTGGCAGCGGTAGCGCAGGCTCCCATCCCTTGGCGGCAGCCGCCTCAGAGGAACCTCTCCGGCCCACGGCGCTCAACTACCCTCACCCCAGCGCGGCTGAAGCGGCCTTCGTTAGTGGCTTCCCCGCAGCAGCCGCCGCGGGTGCCGGCCGCTCCCTCTACGGAGGACCGGAGCTCGTGTTCCCCGAGGCCATGAACCACCCAGCGCTGACGGTGCACCCGGCGCACCAGCTGGGCGCCTCCCCGCTGCAACCCCCGCACTCCTTCTTCGGCACCCAGCACCGGGACCCACTCCACTTCTACCCCTGGGTGCTACGGAACCGCTTCTTCGGCCACCGCTTCCAGGGTGAGTGCCCTCGCTGTGCCCGACTGGCCAGCGTCCGTGCCGCAACGATGCTAGGGAGGCAAGGGGGACGTGCGGGGCTGTGCTGTTTAGAAGTTGTTGCGGAGAAGGCTGGATTCCCAAGCCGGGTAAAGTCCTACGGGATCTATTTGCGTTCTGCTGCGATGGTATCCCACCCCGAGAGTGAGGTTGGGACCCACCAGGCTTTCCCAGGAATGAGGCCGGTTCGGATGCCTAGCCCAGGCGCATCCGTGGAGCCTCTCCTGACCCTCCCTCTGCCTGCCTTACTCTTTCCCAACAAAGCCAGTACCATTCCGGAAAGCGCTGGGCTCTCAGCCCTCCATCCGTCCCAGCTTGAACCGGGACCATACTTTGCTCTCACGCTCGCCACCAACTCCCAGGAAGCCTTTGCTCTCGCGTCCCGGCAGGGAAAAGTTCACCTGGCTCCGTGGGAAGGAACATGGGGAGGGCGAACTGCTGAACTGCAGAGTTAATGTTCAGTGTGAAGTGCTCCGCTGTCTTGAGATGTTTCTCACAACCTTGGCCCGGCTTCTCCAAATCACACATAATCTCTTGGACCCAGGGTGGCAAAGGTTTGCAATAAGCAAACTGGCTTCCTCCGTCGCTGACCTCCTCGGGGAACCCACCCGGCTGCTGGGGGCCCACAACAGTCCTCCCGATTAGAGGACAAGGTAGGAGGGCTTTTAAGGTCATAGTAAGTCCTACCTCTCTGTTCTGCATTGGGCAGTCAGTTTGCTAATTAAGATCCCCTACAAGCTTCACACACACACTTCAATTATCTGACTTTCCCAAAGAGAGTTGTATTTGTTTTCTTGAATTTGTTGAAGTTTCTTTTTCTTTTTTTTTTTAAAGACTAGGTTTGATTTGTGCAGTAATTGCTTTAGTTCCCAGTTCTATTTTGTTAGTTTAGACTGGATCCCAGCCTTATGAGGTTCCATTGCTTAGAGGGAACTAGGTAATTCGGTTTTTAGTGCAACAACGAAAAGACAAGGCTGAATCTTCGACTTCAGGAGCTACTCTGATAGTAAGCCAGGAGGTCTATACAGTCCAAGTAAATTAGATGTTTGGTACAATTACTTAGATAATAAAAGCAAAATGGTCTCTTGAAGCTTTGAGTATAGCTACTTGACTGTCTCAGAGAAAGTCGCTAGTCAGGGTCTTGATTTGTCAGTCAATTATCTCAGTCACACCAGGCCAATAGTTACTTATCAGGCAGCTCCCAGGGATCCAGAGAATGTAATTACTTCAACAAGAATTTTTGTGGGCAGACTTGTCTCTTCTGAGGATTTCAAAGATTTGCCCAAATCCAAATCCGTGTGGCAGGGGGAGCTACGATGCTTTGGGTAAGAATTCCTGTCACTTAAAAATCAGTATTTACTAATAAAATGAGGTTTTATTCAAATTTAGCAAACTACCCGGGTTCCTGGTGGGCTCTATCCGGCGGCTGCAGGGTAGGGAGTTGGGTAAAGCGACAGGGGCTAGGAGGACAAGGCGCGGCGGTTATTAAGCCCTGTCCAGGGGCTCAGGTGATCCGGCGATGACCTCCGGAGGGGCGCCTTCCACTTCAGATCCCACTCCTGCCTTTCACACCTCGGGCCCCACCCGCGCTGACCCGTGGCACCGAGGGCCGGAGGCGCCTTGTGAGAGATTCAGCTCCGGTTCTGAGGATCCCCAGCCAGACGAGGCCAGAGTAAATTCTCAGCAAAACCCTCCCGGAAATTGCCGCTGCTTCCCGAGCCACGGGTCCCAGCGGGTACGTTGTTGTGTTGCACAAACGGTTAGATTTTGTTCTCAAGAACCGTGTAGGACACGGAGATGGAGCCAAGTGTGGTCGCATTTTCAAACTCAGAAATCCTATGGGTACTGAAGGACTTTTCGAACCCGGAGATTCTGTGGCCGTGGAGTCCATCGTTGTAACGGATGGCCGATGGGAGGTCCCGGTGTCTGTGCGTCCTCCAGCCCCAGCAGAGCCTTGTGCCTGGGAGCCCAACCGTCCCTGGTCCTCCGGCGCCGTGTTTTCTAGAGAACCGGGTCTCTGCGATGCTCATTTTAGTCCCGTTTTAAGGCAAGAAACGAAACCCTACAGGAACGAAAAGGAAACATGTCTGCGCCCTGCGCGCAGCGCTCTGGGCAGCGTGGTCCCGGCGTGCGGGGAAGCGGCCTCTGCGTTTAGACTGCGGAAGAGGAAAAGCCAGAGTGAATGGTCAGGAAGCCTGGGGCGGGTCGCGAGGCTCGAAGGGGAGGAACCCGGGAAGACGGAGGTTGGCTGCATTTCGTTGCCATTTCTCGACGATTCGGAAGTTTCCGTACAGGGGAGCAGCACCGGGAAGGGACTGTGGAAGACCAAGGCCTCCCGGACAGGCGATGGTGCTTCAAAGAGCGCCTTTGTTCGGATTAGGAGGAGGCGGAGGAATTAAGTCTCCGCTGCTTGGTCTGCCTTTTCCATGTCCTACCCCCAGGCCACTCCGCTAAGTCCACCGGCCCTGAGCCCCAGTCGGCCGCAGCTTCTCCAGCGAGGACTGCAGCTTGATCCCTAGCTCTCGCTTCGGGCAGCCTCATTCCTGGCAATCTCTATTGCTAGTTCCCAGCCATTGCCTTGAAGAGGCCCGCAGGAAGAGGCTGTAGGAAAACAGGAGGAGGGGGGGGATGTTCACTTCCTAACTCCAAGGAAGGCAGTGCCAGTCCTTTCCACTTTTCCACCTGTCCTAATCTGAAACCGACAGCCTATTTTCACAGCCTGGAATTACTGCAGCCAAACAGGCCGCACCCAGGATCGAGCTTGTTTTCCCTTGGCAGTCCAGTCAAGAGAAATTTCATGAAGCCGTATAGGAATGGCTCGAGGTGGTAGGAAGGGATGAACCCCTTTCCAGAGGTCAGGGTGAGAGGGACCCAGGTACATCGACACCCCTGTCCTTACAGAAGTATTTAACAATCGATGTGCGCCTGGGGATGGCTAGTTCTGTGCTAAGCATCCATTTTTCCCCCACTGGGAAAAGCCCTGCTACTTTTGGAGTCAAATAACCTATCATCGTTTTTCTGCATCTTGAATAATTTTCCAGCCTCCTGCTTCTTCATGGTTGGGTTAGAAGAAGCCCTATATTTATGCACATGCATAAACATGGACACAGACAGGGGCACATGTTATCCACCGCAACAGGACATCATAATGCACTGGGACCTTTTTTTTTTTTTCTGTGAGTAGACCCCAAGCAACCTAGCTTTCCCTAACACTAGCCAGATTGAAGGCAAAGAAGCTTGTAGGTCAGAAAGACCGTACTTCTTGTTGCCATCCTCTACTCTGAGTTTAAAAAGTCAAACACAGAACACTCCACTCCACCATACAGGTGACTGACACACACCACAGAATTACCAACAGCCATTAAGGTAAACACACTGCAACAAAGCACAATCTTCCTTTCTCGCTTCCAACTTCCCTGCACACCTCTGCACCCCACTCACACCGATACATGCTGCAACCTCACTTCTAGCCAGCCTAGGCCAGCCTATGGCAGCCGGCAGCTGAGACCAAACTCTTTGAATACTGGGATGAGCCAGGCTTTTTCTCTCCCTCTCTGGCTCATTTGTCCAGAGGAAACCCCTGTTGAGACTTCTGAGTGCAGGATGATGTTATTATTTTGAAGCACTTCATTTTAACATCATTAAAAAGTTTCCCATGCACCTCTCCCGCCTTACCCTATATTAAATATTGGTTCTCACTCCAGAGACTTTAATCCTCCCTATTCCCCCTGGAGCAGATTCCTCATTTTTCTCCTTTTACCCCTCTGTGGCAGGCCACCTCCTCTGATTATCTGTTTCTCTATCCTCAGACTTCTCTGCCTTCAGCCAGGCATGATGACCCTAGGTCTGATATCACCTTGAATGGGTTGGTGGGCAGGTGTCCCTCCTTTAACTCCCTGTGATGTGGTCATATTCCTTTTTGTAGTAGCACAGACCCAGCCGGTTGAAATGGACAAGGTGACTGGAAGTTAGTGAGTTTGTCTCCTCCCCAGGCACTGGCAACCCAATCCAGGGCAACTGTATTCCATAGAAAACCCCAATAGTAAGGTTGACCTGTGTAGGTCTCCAAACCCAGGGTCTTGGAGAAAGTAAGTTCAAGCAGTTGCCACCAACAGAAAATACCAACAGTTAGTTACCTGGAGAGTTTTCACAAGGGCATCTCAATGATGTGCCTCCACTTCACTTACAGAGGTGTTTCCAGAGATGGGAGATCTCACTTTAATTGTCCAGCATTGTCTTAAGAGCAAAACAGCAGGTCAAATTGAGTCAAGCCAATAGCCATTGCTGAAGAAATTAATTGGATCAGTCAATCTCAATAGCTAACTGTCAAAACATTCCATCTAGTGCTCTGTGTTGATGGTGGGTTGAGGGACTGTTACATGCCACTGTGTGAGGAGCCGTGGGTAATATTGTCAGGGCTTGTTTCAAGTTTGTGAGCCTGTGCAACTAAGACAGAGATTGTGTGAGGGACTAGTGGAGCACAGGCTGTAGGTAGATGCCTGTTTTGAATTTTGTGTTCCTGACCCTGCCCCAGCCTCATCCAGTCCTGAGTGTAGGGGATGAGTCCAACATTTGTCAAGGGCCAGTCACATTCTGAAAAATGCTGTACAGTAAACAGAAGGAAAAGACAGTTGGGAGGCTGAAGCATATATTTACACTATGCCCATGCAAAAACCAATATATCTATATCTATATATATTAGAAAGATGACATCTAGATATTTATTCCGATGTTTCTACAGCACAGTATTATTCAAGGAGGAAGCAGCGTCTTTTCCCAGCAGGGATCAGTAAATTTGCTGTGAGGATGGCTTTTACCCTGGAGGCTAGCCTCCACATAGTCTAAGACTTGGGGACAGAGAGGTAGAGTAAGGGGAATCAGAAGCCCAATTTTAGATCTCCAAAGTTTTCCTATATGGTTGACCTTGCTTCCCGTGGCCTCCTTTTACAAGAGGCAAAATATAGCCTGGTCCTCGTTGCCAGGAGTTTTCAATGGGGCTAGCAGCCCCAGCATTTAGCTGCAAGAGTAGTTTGAACAGGTGTGAGGAGAGCTTTCTAGTTCCTGAATCTGCTTGATATGGGCGTGTCTAACGGACTTGCTGCTCTCCTTATCACCTTCCTAGCAGTCAGGCCTACTTTCATCCTGGAGGGAGATGCTTCTAGACCAGTTCATTAAAAGCAAATCGTTGGGGTCGGGGTGGAGGCAGTGCCTCTGGGAAAGGCGAGAGAGCCAAAGGACTTTGCCTATGCGTTGGCTTTTTCCGGCTGCTCCATGCAACGTGGGTTTGGGCCAGTCTGTCCTTCATCAGGCCTGGGCTCGCCTCTTGGCCCAAAAGAATGGTCAGCAGCGATGTGATCACGCGCGTCCCGGGCGGGAATAGCTCTGGAGTGTGGAGGGGTATTGGGAAGCGGGGTGGACCTCGGCAGCAAAAGGAAAAGGAGGCGGGTGTCAAAGACTTGCAGAGCTAGCAGAACGCTCAAGGGCGCGAGAGCTGGGAGGGAGGCCGGGCTTGGCCGCCAGGCTGCGGCTCACCCCCCCTTCTCTCTGTCTATACCTGCGTGTGCTGCTGTCGCCACGGGGCCCCCCAGCCAGCGACGTACCCCAGGACGGGCTGCTTCTGCACGGGCCCTTCGCGCGCAAGCCCAAGCGGATCCGCACGGCCTTCTCGCCCTCGCAGCTGCTGCGGCTGGAGCGCGCCTTCGAGAAGAACCACTACGTGGTGGGCGCTGAGCGGAAGCAGTTGGCCGGCAGCCTCAGCCTCTCCGAGACTCAGGTAAGAACCACCCTGTGCCAGGTGCGGCGCCCCGAGGACGAGGGGCGGAAGGGTGCGAGGGTCTCTCCCGCCGGGTTCCAAAAGCCACCCCGAGGCTCACGTCCTAGAGCCCCCTCCCTCGGGTTGTCCTAGCTACCGAGACCGGGACTTTCATCAAGCGCTAAGACCCAGCAGGAGGCACAGTTGATACCAGCCCTATTTGGGTGTCCAGCTCAAAAAGCCCCATAGGAAGGCCAGGTTACCTCTCTAGCAGCAGCGCTGGCAGCACGGATTTCAGCCCCGAGACTGCCAGATCTTAGCCTCTCTCCCGCCACTGTGGTGGGGCGCTCCCGAGCTGCGGGATGACCCGGCCTTCCCAGCACTGGCTGCGCTGCTGTTCGCGGGCAAAGCTGGTGAGACCTCGGCTGCCCGCCAACACGTGTGGCGTGGGGCGACGGCTCAGGAGGGGGCCAGCTTCTTCCTAGGATCCCAGGGTGGTTCAGATCCCTGCGCAGGCTGGCAAATAGGGCCCCAGGAACCGCGGTGTGCGCGCCGGGTAACTTCTGCGTGACCTGAGGTGGGTCGGTAGTCTAAGCACTCAGGCGCTGCTCCATCACTGCAAGGGCTGCCGAATGGGAGAGGGAGGAAGCTCTCTATTCGTGGTGACGGGGCTTAAACTGGGTGAAGTTACAATTGCCATGCAGTGTTTTGAAATTGATAGTTAAAAAAAAAATCAAAGGAGATGGGAGTTTTCAGGGAGGCAGATGGGCGGATTATAAGTACTTTGCTACCAATATTGTCTGGAAGCACCATTCTGAGCGCTTCCTCCACCCGGGTCGGATTGCTGGAGCAACCCTCAACCCAGCTACTGCCCCGGAGGCGGGTTTTAGTGTCTGGGGAGGAATTTGGGCCCTGCCCCATCTCCTAGATTTGTGAACGAGAGAGGTGAGCTCCCACTGCCCAAGCAGCTTTCGACCTGCTGGCATCTCAGCTTCTGCTGTTCTTTCCTCCCCATTTTGGCCCCTGTTACACAACCACCCCCTCTCCAGCAGCCTTCGGGCTCCCCATTACCAGCAAGGGTAGGAAAGGGTAGGGAGACGGAGACCCTATCTGCATCCCCAGCGCCCTGCTTGGAACTCGGTCTCTGTTCCTGGCATTTTTGTTGCAGTGTCTGTCTGATGCCCCACTTAAGAATCAATGCATCGTTCCCAGCTTCACCATGCGCTTTCAGATTCGCTAGTTGCTGTGCTAACTGCAGAGAAAAAGCTTACAAGGCAACAGTTAATTTAAAAAAAATGTTTTAAAGAAACCTATGTTTTAAAAAATAAGCTAATAATATAACACCTCTTTTCCCTCCTGGCAAATTGTTGTTTAAAACAAGGTGTCAACTTAAGAATGGTGTTTATAATTCTAAAAGTAATGTTTATTAAATTTTAATTGCAGATATGTAAGAAAACAAAGCAGTTTATAATCTCACCACCCACAGATTAGTGCTTGTTGAAATAATGTCATTGTTTTCAACTTTCAATATTTTAGCTCAGTGATAGTATTTTTAATTAACTTTCTTTCAAACTGAATCTAGCTGCATGTCAGTATTTGCTCCTAACAATGTCAGTTAGTAATTGGACTGATTGTTTCTTTCATTTTTATTATGAGACATCTCAAACATATATTTAGAACAAAACCAAATATAATAATGTAACATATCCAGCTTCACTAACTATCAGAACTCATGGCTAATCTTGTTCCTTCCATAAATGAGCTGCTTTTTTTGCATATAGAATGAAACAACAAAAAACGACAGAACTATATGGGTGGTTTGAGCCTGCAGAACCTCCTGTGTCTACCTGTTTAAGTGAAAATACTGAGATGAGAAGTGGGCCAGAAAGATGTGACTTCCTGCTTCCTGAATGACCTTGGGCAAATTAATTGCTCAACCTTTCTCAGCTCTGGTTGCTTCATCCAGAAAATAGTTTGTTCCAGGAGTAAAGGCCCCTAATATAAACCCAAATAATATCCATTCCTATTCCCAGTCCCTTTCTTTCCCTTCGTTTAGAGTTATATGTCAAATTATTGGCATAATAAAGTCCAAACCTGGGTGTCCCTTGTGCCAGTGTTCTTCCTGTCACATCCATCAGAGCTGTCTTCTGTTGCCCTCATAACTTAAAATTGGGTCTAGTCAGTATAATTAACTAATTATCTATCTACCTCTCAGAACTTATCAGAAAAACTTACCTGTGATTTTCAGGTATCAGCTATTGGACAAGCACTGGTTACTTCCATCAGCTCCCTGCCATGTATTCCTACTATCAGTACTCACATTTGTCATTCAGGGCTCTCTAATCTGTCCCTTGGATATAGCTGTTTTGTATCTAGCCACCTACATCTATCTGCTCTTATTAAATTCCATCCCACAAACGAGTTAATTTATATTTTCTATTAATTACTTACAATAATTCCTATTGACCCATCTATTGATTGTCTCCTTATCATCTGTTTTGTTTCATCTTCTATGTGAACACCATCCATCTCAAACTTCCATCTCTGTAGAGCTATTAGTAATTGACAGTCTATTTATATGCTTGCTAATAGTTATCTCATCAGATCTGTCTTTCTCTTCTCTGTGGGTCTCATTGCTGTGTCTGTGAGATTGAATGAAATGAACTGTTGTATTCTTTCTAATCCTGAGTTTCTCAGGCTCATCTATAATCTACTCTTCTGTGTTTCTATATAATCCCTCTTCCACATTCTCAGAGCTTACAGTATATCCATTACTTATTCTAATAAGCATCAAACTTTGCTGTTTTTACTTGTTTAATTATCTGTCATATCTAAATGTCAATCTGTAGAACAGCTACAGTCACCCAGTCACCTCTCAGGGAGGTTTTGTTTTTTTTTTTTTTTTTTGTGGTACTAGGGTTTGAACTCAGGGTCTACACTGTGGGCCACTCCAGATGGGATCTCATGAACTATTTGCCCTGATTGGCTTCAAACTGTGATCCTCCTGATCTCTGCCTCCTGAGTAGCTAGGATTACAGTGTGAGCCACTGGCATCCAGCTTTCAGGGGAATCTTAAAATACAGATTTCCAGGCCCCATCCAGGAGATTCTCTTGGGAGGTCCAGGATGGGGGTTCAGCAAAAAATTTTTAAAGCAACTCTCTGGATGATTCTGATGAAAAATAGGTCTGAGCGTCTTAGTTGTGGGAAGCAAGAGTCCAAACCTATTTTGGTCAGCTCAGTGGTCAGCCTGTACTGGATGAATGGGCAAGTTTCTTTTGATTCCTCACATACGTGAACATATAATTTATCAGTCATTGCCCTTGCTGTCTGCTGTCAGTGGTCCCCTCCTCTCCTCTGTCTATCTTTCTATCTTTCCCATGCACTTTCAATGATGTAAACATCAGTCTATGGATAAAACTTCCAGAAGGGTTAAGCAGATCAGTGTGTATGTGAACTCAGCACTCACAGAACCTCAGCACAATGATGTGGGCAACCCGTACCACTACATTGGTGTAGTGCTGTATAGTTTAGCTGGGAGTGGGGTATTTGTGCTGGGATAGCCAGTGGGTCAACCCAGGAGCTGGAAGGAAGAACCCTGGGAAAGAGCCATCTCTCCCTTCTGGTTCTAATTCTTTGCTACTCACAGCTGTAATACAACTGGCGTATGACCACCAAGGCACCCATCTAAGCTTTAGTCCAGGTGACTGGTTAGGCAGACTTGGGTTTGGGCCTGGTCAGGGCCTTGAGCACTATGAGTATACTCTGTGTGTGTGTGTGTGTGTGTGTGTGTGTGTGTGTGTGTCCACAATGTGGGGGCACATGTGAGTTTACTGTGATTGATGCCCAAAGGTGATATCACAGGTATTAATCAGATGCTAGTAGGTAGTCACATACATGAGTGCCGCTTGAATGCTTCTGTATATGTGTGTTCAGGGAGGGCACACGTTAGTTTTCGGGGGAGTGAAAGCACCTGGTTGCTCCTGGATGATCAGCTGGTCAGTGTTCCAGCTCCCTATCTTGCTCTGAATAGATCAGCATATGTCTCTTAACCTTGCCTGGCTTTGACTTTGGCTGAGCTATGAGAGAAAAGGGTACAGAAATGTGGTCCTTGGCCTTGAATGGACCTCATTTAGTGGTTGAGGTAAAATTCAACATGTGGACATTTGCAGGAAATAGCTGGGGCACCCATGAGGTCTCAGTTGTGGAATGAAGGGGACTCAGGGGAGATAAGAAAGGACAGAAGACTCCCAGGAGGCCTCTGACCTGGAAGGCTTGAGTGTGTAAACTTATAGGTTGGAGGGAAGGAAGGGGGAGGGTTTGAGGTGGGCTGGTTAAAATGGAGAAGGAGTTGTCAAGTCCAGCTGCCATCTTGGAGCCTGAGAGCAAGGAGAGAGGTTTTGAGAGGCAGGAATGTATAGTCACCTACCTATGTGGTTTCCCCACAGATGCATGGAAAGGAGGTTTTTAGGGGTCCCTCCTGCTCTGCCCTTTGGGGAATGGATGAGAGAGAAATCCGAATGACTTGAATTTTAGAGAGCTTTGCTGCTAGCTGTCAGTGATTCTGGGATTATACATCCTTTCTTCTAAGTCTTGGCTCTTCTCTGAGAATTTCTGCATCTCTGACATTCTAGGAGTCCTGTGTGGAGGGGGTGAAGAGAAAATAAGGGAGAATGAAGTGGTTCTATGGGACAGGGGACATGGTCTTGAGGAGGGAGACAAATTTTTGTGATATCTCCCTGAGACTGAGGGTAAAGGTCCAGGATGGGAAAAAGGAAGAGGACTCAAGAAGTCTTAGGAAAAGTTAGGGTTATGGATGGTAGAGAGTTGGAAGTGACCTCAGCTTGGTTGGGTGAGTGTTGAGCTTAGTACAGGATTGACTTGACTCTGAGAGTGGGAACACTGACATAATCAAGTGATAGGAAGTGGAGCCCCAGGGGAGAGGGCAGGGAGGACAGCAGGCTGAGAGGTAACTTGATTGGTGTCTCCAAGTTGCTATCTATTCTGAGGACTTTCTTTGTGTCTGAAGATGACAGAAAAGACAAGCTTAAATTAAAGCACAACAGATAACAGTCAAACATAAGGAGGAACTTCCTATGTCAGAGTTACAAGATCTTATAAGTATGTTTGGACTCCTTGAGGACAAGGCAGGTATTCTCTGGAATGGATGCAGGCACCTGAAGCCACAGACCCTCCCGTTTTCAATAAGCAAAGGTTGGGGGAGTGATGGAAACAAAGGAGTCAGACCTCCTTCATTCAAAACAGCAGATTATCCTAAAGAAAAATATGATTAGCTCTGAAATATTGGTTGGAGCTGTGGTTTGCTTTTTATTTCATTGACCCATTAATTCATTCATGTATTAATACATGCATGTCTTCATTCATAATGCAGACACTGACCAAACCTCTAATGAACTGATGTGTTCATTCATCCAGAGCAGATTCACATCTTTATCCTTCTTGACTCAAACTGAGCCTTGTTCCTCTCAATAATGGTTCTCTCTCCCCCAGCTTTCTCCCAGAGATCATTAATCCACTCTACTGTACTTACCTGGTACTTTTTCCTGATCTCAGTAACAGTGACTCCCAGCTATGTACTAATCTATTTGTATGTCTCCATCTTCTCAAGAAACTATGGGAGTGTTGGTGGAGTTGCTCAAGTCATAGAGCACCTGCCTAGAAAGTATGAGGCACAGAGTTCGAACTCCAATACCAAGAGAGAGAGAAAGACTGACAGATGATGAGAATCTGGAGAGCCAAAGCAGTAGATTACTTGGCTTCTACAATGCCAACTAAAGGAGAAAGTATCCACTAAACAGCCCTCCCCCCAAAAAGGATGCCACCTCTCCAGCATGTCTGTTGATCATCTCCTATTTTCCATAGCTGGCCATGGTACCTCTTGCTTAGAGTGCAGTGCTAGGTCATTTCACCTCTGTCCAGATAGATGACCATATTTGGAACAGGTTTTCTTGGCCCTGGAACTCTAAAGCCAACTAACTTACAGCTTTGGTTCTCCAGAGTCCCATAGTCTGGTGAGAAGATGGAGATGTGCAAGTAGATTCATACACAGCTGGGGCGTCATTGTTACTGAGACCAGGAAAAAGTACTAAGGAAGTACAGACTGGTGATGGGGCAGGTTCTGTCTGTGAACACCTGAGCAGGATCTTAAAGGCCAATTGAGAATTCTGGGTTGGGTAACTCAGGCCAGAATGAAGAGTCTTGGGAGAGTCTGGCTTCACTAAGAAACAGGGACACTCACTGAGAGTGGGAGAACATAAGTCACCTCTCCTCAAACTCGGAGGGGCCAAATTGAGCAAGAGGGTCCTCTAATTAACATTATACTGATGGTCTTGGGGCTAGAGAGGTGGGTAGTTTGTTTGCATTGGGGTGGGGAGACACATACAGAATAGATACAGCCGCCTAAGACCAGCTCCTATGGAGCTGGCAGCCACACTGTGACCTGCTTTCCTTCTAGGTCCTCTGACCTTCCTCCGATCTCTAGGGAAAGAGATCTGGGTTTACCCTACATTTGCCTGCCTGGGTTAGTAAGGTCATGAGGTGTCACTATCATCTATCTCTTATTACAATTGACAGCCCAGTTCCTTTTTCTACCCAGGTAAAAAATAACTATTGTTATCAGCAATGCATTAGAGAAAATTTGGAAAAGTGAAGGAATAAAGAGAAGTCATCCACAATTTGGGTACATTCTCTTCTAGTATTTCTTCTCCATGCATAGATTTTGTTTTCACCATTGTGACCACACTGTGCCAATGCTGTGCATCTTGGCTTTTGCTCTAATATCATGAAGTCATAAGCACCCCTGTTATTACAGGCTCTGTAAATAGCATCTGGACACTTAGCCTAAGGCTGCTCTGCAGAAGATACAGGCTGCCTAGGAAGAAGGTGGTTTCCTTGTTTCTAGAGAGCTGCCTCCTTGTCCCCAGTATTTTTTTGGAGAAAATAGTCAGGATCTCCTTTCTCTTGCTGTGCCAGAACCAGCCCTAGCCTGGGAGTAGATCCTGTGCTGCAGTCGCAGACTGTGCTTTCCTTCTGTGGGGCAGTGCTGTTGGGCAATGGTAGCATGCTGGGTCTGTCCTGCTAGAGCCAGTGTGATTGTCAGTGTCCCCTTCCTGAAAGGAGACTTGGGAGTGTAGGAGGAGGGAGAAAAAGAGCTACTATCCCTGGTGTTGTCCACCATCACCTAGAGATTACCCACTGCCAGCCCACTTGGGCTTCTCAGAAATGACACCCTACGCCCAGCCCTGAGTCACACACAGGAGGCAGGGTGAGCTCATCCACCCACTGGCTGGCATTGTTAGTAGGCTCTGGGGTGGAGGGCAGGGGCTGGGCTGGCTGCCAATGGTTGTGCTGAGAACCATACAGGGCCTGGCAGCCCTGTGCCCAAGGACAGGTGGGCATAGAATCCAGAGTCCTGTGCCCAGAGCATTTGCCATCCTCCCCTGTCCACACAAGGAGAAATACATATGCTGTGGATTTGAACCCTGCCTGAAATAAAGAAGCCCTTTGTCCTCACTCCATCCATCAAGGCCAGGTACCTGACTCTTCCCGGGCCAGTTTTCCTGTCCTGGGCTAGCTGGTCTATAAGCACTGAGCCCCACAGCTGTCCCACCTCTACCTTAGTGGCCAGGCAGATGGCATAGTGAAACCCCTGGCAAGTGGGGACTGTTAGAGAGAACCAAGGAGGGGGTTCTGTCTTCTCCATGGAGGGGAAGAGAGGAAAGGTGTATGAGGCCCACACATCTTGGACCTGAAACTATCCCCAGGGTCAGGATGTCAGGCCTTCTCCTGCCTGGCTTTGCAGCTCAGGCCTATGCTTGGTCAAGGGGCTGGACTGAGGACTCTTTCTGAGGGCTACCCTCAGCCATGCCCTGGGTTTCAGTCCACTCCTCAGCATTCACCGCTGCTGTCAAAACTGAGGTGCTCACCACCATTCCACACACAAACTTACTAATGCCATCTGCACAGCTGCTTTTAAATGTGCTACCATTTCCTGAAAACCATCAGCCTTGCAATCGGCCCTCCCTTCAGGGACCATCTAGAACAGGGATATGGGAAGTGCCCTGGAGCTGCCAGGGTTCCACAACACATTTCTCCTGTAGATGAGAGACTTAAACACAAAGAGGGGAAAAACTTAGCTGAGGTATGTGTCCAGGCTCCTCCTGTCAACTTTGAGGAGGGTTTGCATCTGGCCTGGTTCTACAAGGCCAAGTGAAGCAAAGTGCCATTGAGTCAGGCAGAGTGGATGGACCAAGGCTTTCTCTGTGGTGTGTGGTGACACAGTATAGCTCCCAGGTCATACAGGTGAGGATGTCTGACATGTATCCTGGACACTGTAAACACTGGAGGAAGGGGAGGGAGAGGATGATTAGAGATATGACTCAGTTGGGGGCTTCCTGGAGAAGATTGCTTAAAATCACAGGCCTGCCTCTCCCCATCACAGAGTATGTTATTCAGTTTGTTTAGACCCTACCCCTACCCTGGTCGGGGCTCTAACTGCCTGACACAGAAAAGAGGAACTCATCATATTCCAATAGGAGCCTGATATTCCTGTGTAACCTGTTCCCCATGTATGGATGGGCACAGGGACCAGTGCTGTGGGGGTAGGAGGTGCAGAGCAGTCCCTGGAGGGCAAAACAGTACCCTGAGGTGGTGCCTCAGACACACCTCCTTGTTGTCCTTGTCTGTTCAAGGAGGACAAAAAGGGGTCATTGGTGGCTTTCAGATTACCCTGAGAAGCTAGCACCTGAGGGACTAGGGCTCTCCACCACCTGCTCTGTTTCACCTCTGATGTGGGGAAGGGGAATTCCACACAATGCTGCTATGAAAGGGTCCTGTGATACAGGAGACCTATAGGTAGCATGTGGGTTAGAGCCTCCGGTGGCAACTCCATGACCCTAGGAGTGGTCTGGCTGCCACAGGTCCTGCTCTTGGTGTGGATGCCACTTTTTAGTTATGAAGCCATGTCTACTCTGCCTCCTTGCAAAGCAAAGACTGTAGCGTCAGCCCTGGGGAACTCATTGGGGCCCAGGTGGTGGCTTGTCATAGTTTCTCACATTTACTGTTCACTTACCCTATGCAGAAGTGATGATTACCTCTTATCTGTAAATCAGTAGCGACCAGGACTGCTGGGCTCCTTCACCTCTGCTTGCTGGGGCTGCAGAAACCAGGATGCTCAGCAGCTCCACAACTCCTTCCCTTGTCTTTGTTTGAGAAACCAGAAAACTGTCCCTCCTTCTGGCCCAGTGTCTTCCTTTTGCCCCACCTCACTTGCACTGGAAGAGCAGTCCTCCAGACCCATCAGGTGGCAGCTGGCTAGGACAGAGGACCCTGGCTTGGGAGCCCTGACCCTCAGTTTCCCCAATCTGGCTCCTGGCTCGGCCTCAAGTGCTGAGTCCCCGTGGTACTTGGGAGCCCTTGGGTGTTTCTCATCTGTGCCCCTCCCTCCCTGGCCCAGGTAAAGGTGTGGTTCCAGAACCGGAGGACAAAGTACAAACGGCAGAAGCTGGAAGAAGAAGGGCCTGAATCTGAGCAAAAGAAGAAGGGCTCCCACCATATCAACCGGTGGCGTATCGCCACGAAGCAGGCCAACGGGGAAGACATCGATGTCACCTCTAATGACTAGGGGAGCAACCATGAACCCATGAGGGCAGAGCACTGCTTGCTGCTGGCCAGGCCCCTGGGGGGCACCCAAGCTGGACTGTGGCCACTCCCTGGCCAGGCTGCAGGGAGACCTCGAGTCACAGCCCCACAGGGCTTGGAGCCTGGGGCCATCACTGGCAGAGGGACAAGAAATGGGCTGGTTGAGGCCTGGGACTGCTCGGCCTTCTCGATGGAGAGCCTGCCTGCCTGGGTGGGCCACCTGTCACTGCAGCCTCCCAGCTGCTCTTCATTTCTCTTATCTCCTTTTTGTTTTGATGCGTTTCTGTTTTAATTTATTTTCCAGGCACCTGCTGTAGTTCTTAGTGATCCCCTTGTGTCTCCCTTCCCTATGGGAATAATAAAAGTCTCTCTCTTAATGGCACAGGCATTCAGTTCCAACCCTAGAGCCTGCGGTGACAGATTACAGCTTTGGCCCTTGTGGGGGCTGATAGAGCAAGTGTGTTCAGGCTCATGGGGTCTGAGGCACTGGATGGGGCAAAGACAACTAACTGATCATCTCCTTTGGTGGTGGTCAGCTCTGGTCTCTTCACTCCAGCTCCACAGCAGGAGAAAATGAGGCTAGACGTAGGGCAGGACCACCCTGTGTTTGGAGAGAGGCTAGGTCCAGGTCTTTCCAAACTCATTGAGGGGTGGGAATATCAGGCCCAGGGAATATCCATGGAGGAGGGAGAAAGTGATATAAGGAGAGGGAATCTTTACACTTAGACACTTTGGTAGCTTCTCCAGCAAAGGAAAAGGTTGAAGGGGCACAATACACAGGAGATGAAAGTCTCAGCCCTAACTCCTGGCCCAACATGGATGCTTACATCCTTGGAGAACCCCTAGGCAGGTTACAACTCCAGAGACAGGGCTTGAGGCTGAGGCTGCACCAGTCCCTGAGGACTAGGGTCTCCCCAAACCAAGAAAGAATGACAAGGCAAGGCCCACTGAGCTCTTTTGTCCAATTGACCATCAATTTGTCGATTTGTCCTTAGTACTTGTCATGTATTAAGGTCTCTTTCATCTTGGAAAAGTATAGCCTGTATTCCTAACAGTCTTTCTCTGCCAACATCTGGACCTGCTTCTACTTCATCACCTCCCATGTGCTCCCCAGTCATCTGCTTTCTCCGCTGATGCTAATGACAGTCACCAACTACAGTCACCAGCCTCTCCCCTACTTGTGGCCAAACTCAACTGCCTCCCATCTGGGTTCACCTGCTCCCTGATCTGCTGGCCATGCCTCTGTGAGTCCCCCACCCTCTCTCATCATTTTGGTACTTCTGACACCTTCTCTAATGGTCTCTCTGAGTTCTCCCCAGCTACACCCATGCCTCGTGGCCTCTGTCCACCTTAGGTCAGTCCTTCTTCCTCCTGCCTCCCCTCTCTCTCTTCCTGGGGGTTCACATTCACTTCCAGGACTTCTCTGGCTCCCTGATTGGTGTCTCTAGCCAACCTCTGTTGAGGCGTGGACCACTGAGCCAGCCGTCTGCTGCACCCCATGACTCTCAGCATGGTCACAGCTAGATTCTCTCCCTACTGGTTCTCCTCCAGCATGGCCCACCTTGGCAAACAGCATAGCCATAAGCACCATTTCCCAGGGCAGAGGAAACCTGGGAATCTCCTTCAAGCTTCCTCCCCTGCTCCCCAGCCCCATTCATTCCCTCCTAGGCTATGGAGTCCAGACTGACTTCCCAGTCACACCCCTCCGTGCAGTATCCTTCAGCTGTCCCTGCCACCAGCCACGCTCCCTCTTCTTGCAGGGAGTGTGGGCACCATGTCAAGGCTAAGGCCCGCTCAAAGGGGCCCCGTGTGGTGGTTAGGATTCTCTTCCTCCCACCCAGATAGGAGCATGTCACTTCCTTCCTCAGTCCTGCATTCTGTCTGCACTTCTTTCCCACCCTGGGTCTCTCCTACCTTGCTCCAGGTGCACTCTGCTTCAGTCTCACTGGCCCCTGTCCCTGAGTAAGCCTCAGCTTTTTGCTGGGCTGTACTTTGTTTATGCTGTTCTTCCCTCCTGGGCTGTTGCTGAGTATCCTGTGGGTGCCTGATCAATGTTGATTGCACTGGGAAGATGTCAAAGGCCTAGAAGCCTTGTTGCCCAGGCCATGTGCAACTGCTAAGAACACAGACCCAGATCCCACTGGGCCTCTCTACTCTTTCCCCACCTCACTGGACTCACTTGTTGAGTCAAGTACTAGAAACCAAAGGGCTTTATCTCATCCCCACACCTCTGTCCCTTCCTCCACTATCCAGGAATGTGTCCCTGACATCTTAAAAGGGTAAGTCCAGGTTAAACCCACAGCAGTTCTCCCTACCAAGCAGGGGAGGTAACCTCTGAGGTGCATGTACACACAAGTAGGGGTGAGAGGGAGAAGAGGCATCCTTTGGGCCCCAGCGAATGGCAAGGGAGATGGGTAATCCTTTCCTCTTATGATCCTGTCTTGCTTGATGGGGGAGGGGTCCAGGAAGATCACAGCAGAGTACCCCATCATGCAGATAAAGGGCTGGAAAGGACCAAGGAAACCTGCCAATCTTCCCAGCCAGGCCTGTGAAGCGGGGTGGGGAGTCCCATCCATCCCCCATGTTGTGCCTCTCCCGCAGACGGTAAATATTGGTGTTGTGACTTCATTAATAAAGGCTTCTGTGAGCCTGAAAAACATGGAATCAGGATGAACTATTTTCTGAGCTGTGGGCTTGCCAGGTTTGCTAATTTGGGAGTTTTTGGGCCCTCTCCAGGGAACAAACCAAAGTCTCTCTCAAAGAGACGCAGATGCAGCCGAGAAGGGAGAAGACAGGACTGCTGCTCCCTCCCCTCTCCTCGATGGCTCCTCCTGTCTGAAAAGCAGGGCCTGCAGAGGGCCAGGACAAATGGACATTGGCCTGTTGGCCTCCTTGGTGTGTGTGTGGGAGCTGATGGGCCAGGCAACCCCTGAGTGAGCTTGCTCACCATCTCCCCTCTGCTGCACTGGCCTCCTAAGGCTCTACAGAATGATGGGTTGACTGTTCTGTACACCTGTAAGAGCAATCAGTTGCATGAGGCTTAAGTGGTGCATGTGCAGGGAGTTCTTAACTCTTGTGGCCAAATCCACATATCTCACTTCCAGGGTACAATGTTTATACATCCTCTTATCTGTGGAACTTTCTGGAATTGGTCCCCATGGCCTTCATAGCAGCATGGCACGTGCTCTTAGCATCTCTCCATCTCTACACAGACTCCTCCTCACAGGTGCTTCCCATGTGAGGCGTCAAGCAGCCCTCACCAAGTGAGCTAAGCTCTGTCCAGGAGGGAGCCATGTTCTGTCCAGTAAGGAGCCAGGCCTCTCTTGGACCCTTGCTCCAGGGAAGCCGTGGTGGGGAGGGGAGGAGGGCCAGCAGGCTGAGTGGTGCAGACCCAGCCAGCTTTCCTGTCAGACTGCGCTGCCAAGGCGGAGCCAGACATCGGGAACAGGTTTAACCAATTACCCGAGCGCCCCATCTGCTGTCTGGGGTTCGTGTGAGGGTGAGTGCATGTGAGGGTGTTTGGAGTGTCTGAGAAGGCTGTAGGCGTGTGTGAGAGTGTGACTGTGTGGGTGAGTGTGGGCGTGCGGCTATGCCTGCATGTGCTGTGCACGTGTGCAGTGTGTGGCTGCATGTCCTGGTCACACCTCCTCCTTTGTTCAAGACCATGGCTAGCAGCCTTTGGTCTTCCTAACCCCACAAAGACCTTGGAGTCTACATGGAGAACCCACCCAACACTCCACCCCTCACCCCCTACTTTCATCACTGCCCATTCTCAGGGCTTATCAGAGCTCCGAATTGGGCCTTCTCTCAAATCACACATCCAGAGTCCTTTCCTATCAGGCAACAAGTTGTTCACACTGGCCCATTCACTTTCCTCTCCACACCAATGGGAGACCCACACCCTCTGTTCTCCTTCCAACATGCCCTTGTTCCACTTTTCTCAGTTGCACCCACCTGGCAAAGTCACAAGTCTGCTTGGACTCACTTCTTGGCTTGCCCTTGCAGTGAGCTCATGAGAACACCAGGTGACTGCATAGGTAGTGCCCCTCTGTGTCTGGGTACCAGTCTCTGAAGCCTCATCCCTGTATGAAAAAGTCCGCTCCTACATTCCACAGGAGAGGTCTCAGACTGTCACCTTTTTCCCTAAACCTCTTCCTCCCTGCTCTTAGCAGAGGACTTCACTCCATCTTCAGAGGAAAAAAAAGACAACCCTGGTGAAGGGAACACCCTTGTGTCAGTCAGACAAGGTACCTTTGAACAGGATATTTGAGGGAGAGGAGGGGTTAATAAAGGAACAATTAACAAATTTGGAAAATCCATGAAGAGTGTTGCAGCACCCCAGAGCAAGTAACAATGAGGAACCCATATGTCCCTTAGGCCTGAAGGGATAGGAGCTGTGGCCAGAACTGGAGAGGACAGTTGGTTAGGGAAGTCCCCAGACAGAAGCTGTGACCTGTGGTAGACAGAAGGCCACAGAAAGCAAGAGGGAGGAGAGGGGTAAATTCTCCAGTCTCACTCCTTCAATCCTCCACTTTCCTGCTGGTGGCTCCCACTGGGGGAAGCAAGGCAGCAAGTCCAGACAAGCCTGCCTCCCATATGAGTCCACCTCCCAGGAAGATGTCATGGGCAGAAAGGCGCAGATGGATCTGAAGGGGTCTCACACTTGACTCCTCACTCTCACCCCATTATTCAGCCCATCTTCTGTTACCACCTGCAGCCTTGCTTTCCTTCTGGAGAATCCATGAGATCGCTGACTTGGGCTCCAGAGTCTACTTGTCTACTCCTGGATCACTGGAGTAGAGCCCACCCTACTGATCTCGTTTAAACCTAATTACTTCTTTAAGATCTTATCTTTGAATGCAATCATATTTCAAGATACTGGGACTTGGGACTTTATCATATAAAATTTGAGAGGACATGATTCAGCTTTCTTGGCTGAGCTTCCTTGGCAGCCTCCTGCCTCTGCCCAGGCCACAGAGGTGGGGGTTCTGCAGGACTCCTTCCCAGATCTCCTCTCTTTGCCCATGTGCCCCCTTGGGTGTTCTCTGTCCATGTTCAATGTGTGTCTGTATATTTAACTTGTCTGTCTCCTGACATCTCCACTTGATTAGTTATTGTACAGGAACCACTAAGAACTTGCAAAACAGAAGGTATCACCTCCCCTGCAGATTTTTTCTTTCTTCTTCTCTTCCTAGGCTCTGGGATACGGCACCTCCTTCTCCTCAGCAGCCCAAGAAGGACCTTGGGTCATCTGGCTCCTCTCTGCCATCCTCCCCATTTGTGAATCTCTTTCCTTGTCTCCATCCCTCTCCCCATCATGAGCGTTTAGGCCCCACCTTCCACATCATGACTTCAAAGTGGTCCCTACCGGTCTCCCGGCAGCCTCACCTGTGTCCACTCTCCCCACCATGCTACAGTCAGTGAAGCTACTCCCTACTTATGGTGTTGGTGGCTTGCATGCAGGCCACAACTTTCTAGGCCCTTGCCTCTATCCTCTAAGCACCCTGAACTTGCAGCTCACCCCTGGAGTGGGGAGGACCCTCTGCACTGTCCCTGCCTCTGCCAGCCTCACACAGGAAGAGGAGAACAAACATCAGACTGCCTGGGGCTGATGGAGCCCCCCTTTCTCACTGGATTTGCATGGAGTCTCCAAGGAGGAGGTTTGATTTGTCACCTCCTCTTTCTCCTTTCTGTTCTTTTCTTTCTACCCCTTGATAAGGTCCCAGGGAATTGTGGTGGGCCCCAGATTCTTGCTTTGGCTGAGGAGATGTCCTTGTCAGGAAGGACACAGGCTCTGGCCACAGACAAGAGTGCTAGCAGCTACCTCCACGTCAGGATGGAGAAGAAATACTTCTTAACCACACCTGGTACTACAGGGAAGGGAGGGTGTGTGGGGGTTAGGACTTGTGGGGGCAGTGGATGAGACATTCCTGTTTGGGGGTCCTATCTAGTGGCCTGGGTGAGATGACTGGACCAGCAGTAGTCCTTGGGGATGGAGGGAGGCTCCATTCTGAAAATGAGGCCAGGACCCCAGGGCCTCAGGAAAGGGTCACTCATCACTGCTCTTACCCCCCTGCATTCTGACTCTCCTTCTGGCCTTTGCCTAAGTGGGAGGAGGGAGGCCTATCTTCTAGGCCATGCAGGTGGGGATGGTGGGCAAGAGAGGCTGCATTCCTGGAGTGTTAATGATCCCCGGGTTGGGCAGGAGCTGAGCCCCCAAACCAGCTAAAAACAACAAACAGCTCCTAGGAGGGATTTGTGTCTGTCCTGAGAGTCAAGGATTTCCGACCGGATAGAGGCTGTGGCCTGTGCGGCTTTTAGCAAAGAAATTCCCCAGAAACCAGAAGCCCCCTGACCTCGAGGTATCAGTTAGAGAAAGACCTCCCTCTCTTTCGCTTCCTCCCTCCCCTCTAGGGAGGCCCAGAGCCCAGGAGGGAAGGCAACACCCTATATACACACACTCGAGGCATGAGAGAATATCTGGGTTCCCCATCCTTCCAACAGGCCAGTGAGTAAACCTGTTCTTGTCATTTTGTAGATAAGGACACCAAGGTTCAGTTACAGAAGTATCCACATTAGGCACTGACCACATTGGAACTGAACCAGTATCTGCCTGACCCCAACCATGTTTTTTTCTGTACTACATGCTTCCTAATTCTCATCAGTTTCTCTCTACAGGACTGGAAGATGCTTGGGGATCACAAGAGGCCAGGCTTCCCTCGTTGGGGACTTCTAGTGGCTGCCTAGAAGAGAGAAGCCAGGGCTATCAGGAGGTGGTCTCAAGGGACTGTGGAAGAGTTAGAAAGGGCAGAATTCCCAGAGCAGGGACCATATGCAACCAACATCAGCACCTTTGCACTTGACTGAGACCTTCCCCGTCCAAAACGTCTCAAGGCTATAGGCAGTCCAGGATGGCCCCTCTCCTTCTTCCTCCAGCTTCATGGATAAAAACAGCACCAAAATCTACTGAAATCCTATGTACTCAAGTCCCTTGGGGTAGGTCCCTTAGTGAGCACTCAGTATCCCCTCTGCAAAGGGATTCTTCTGCTGTTTTAACCCACCCTCTTTGTCTAGCTTCCTGTCCTCGCTTGGTCTTTGACCTTTCCTCTCCTCTTCCCTCTGGACCTCCCCTCTGGTTTAAGCCATTCTGGATCTGCACCTTCCCTAGGTGTCTTCCTACAAAGTTCTCAGCAGCCCTTTGCTTGCTCCTCTGTTTTCAGACTCCAACCTCCCCACCATAATTCACAAAGCCACACCCTGATGCTTTAAATCCATGTTTATTGCCCACAACTCATTAGTATTACATAAATCACATAGATTGAGAAATTTTCTGAGAAGGTTAAAAAGACACTGTAAAGTCCCCTGGATGTGCTGGGCATGTATGTTGGGGCCTCACTCACACCCACCAAGGCTGAAAGACCATCTTGGATCTTCCACTGACTCTTCTCCTCCTCAGGACTCCACCTTCTCCTAGGCCAGAGGCTCAGAAAAGGAAACAAGCCAGCTCACAGTCAGGAAATGAAAAGGGGTTCTTCTTCCATCTTGACATCTTGGGATTTTAGCTCCTGTACTCTCAAATTGCTTTCTAGAAATGGGAGAAGAGAATCCTCAAGCCTAAGGGAATGTTTAAAGTGACCAGAGGAGAGTTGGACAAGGACACTAGGGCTGGATATATGCCCTGTATTCTGGCAAAGCTGGCCAGCCTCACTCTGACTATGGGTCCAGGCTTGGCCCCCTCCTCAAGCACAAACCAATCTGCCCCCACAAATCTCTGTCCTCTGGCCTTGGCAGAGCTGGCTGTGGACATTAGCACAAAGTTTTCCTTTATGCAGACCAGGACACAGCAGCGTGACTCACTGTCCTTCTCTTAGCATCACCCTGAGCTATACAGATCTTTTGCCACTGCACCACCATGGGAGCAGACCCCTAAGCACACCTGGCATTGCATTTGGGAGCACGATAGAAATCATCAGAGATAAAGCAGATAGATGATGACATGCTGAGACCACTGGGGTGGGCAGAGGTGAGGCTGGACCAGGTCAGCCACCGCACAGGGGTAGCTAGGAAGGCACCATCTCTGCCAGGCCTCTGGAGGGGGTAGAGCTGGGGAAGCAGTTTTGGTCCCAAGATAAAGTGCAAAAGAACAAGGCCCTATAACAAGTGGGAGCAGGGTGAGCTTTTCAAAAGAGAACCCAGGTATTCCCAGCTCCTAGACAGGCCTAGAGATCAGCATAGCCCAGCAGTCATTGGCACATTCACATTATGGTGGGACTGGCTCAAAAATACCTGCTCCTCCAACCCTGGGGTCCCTCTATCCCCTGCTGTTTAGTCCTCCATGTTTGTCTGTGTGTTCTCCCCTTGCTAATGAGCAGTGGGTGGGCTGCTCCTCAGGGGAATGTCCTGCAGAACCACTGCTGGGCACCAGGGGCTGGCTGAGAGGTGAAAGCACCATAGCTTCTGGGAGGGTGCACAGTATCAAAGCCCATGAAGACCCACCTCATCATAGCTACACCTGCCCTAAGACACTGGAAGGCCACCTGTGGCCTCACGCCCTTGCTGCACCATTTCCTGCACTCACACATGTTCACCTCCAGTGAGATCTCTTTCAAGGTAGAGTCACTAGGGGAGGGAGGCTCAGGGCTTCAAACCAGGGGCTTCCCTCCTAGTGGGGGTCAGGTAAGGAGCACTTGAGGCTAGCACTTCCCCTTCCTTTGGGCTTTTCAGAGGAGTCACCCTGCTCACCCCTGCTTCCCTCTGAAGAGCTCCTCCTCCTTAAGCCTGCAAGCCTGCAAATGAGATAGAGGTGAAACCAGCAGCAAGAGGCCCCTGAGCTTGCAGGGCTGAGCGCCAACATGCAGTGTGGCCCCATGCTCAGATCTAGGCCTCCAGCTTCCTCTTCCTCCAGAACTGTAAAGTGTTTTGCAAAGGTCAAATACTCTTGGGATTGGGGGTCACATACAGAAGGATAAGGTCCAGTTTCTAAGGCCAACTGTTGGCTGTTCCCCTCTTCCTCTCCCAGTCCAGTGTCCATTTTGGGAATATGCCTAGGATGAGCAGCATCTGAGCTGGACAGGAAAAGGTGAGCTGAAAGAGGGGTGGGAACCCCTTGATCCAGTCTTCTGCTTCAGGATGCTCAGAGAAGGGAGTGGAGCAGCTCTGCTAGTGCCAGAGCTGAGGACCACTGTTCTTGGCTTGATTCTCATCTCAGGTAGGTGCTTAGGGATCTGGCTTTGTCATGATCCTCTAGTACTCAGGAGGTGGGTAAAATCCTCAGGCAGCTTTGGTAGCTGGTGACTTCCTGGACAGCAGTCAGCCCAGCTCCAGCCACCTCTCAGCCCCAGTGCCTGGCCTCCAACTCGCGCTTGAGAAAAGATCTTCTGACAGAGGCCAGTTCAGGCTCATGGCTCCTGCCAAGCATCATTCATTCTTGGGGCTCCGTGCCCACAGCTGGGGTCCTCTGAGGAACCTGGAATCAGAGAGAGCTCCACAAAGGGTAGCCCCAGATCCAGGATCACTTGATTTTGCTCAGTTCTGCAGCTGTGGCATATATGAGGGCTGGCCACATTCACAGCCCACTGCCCATGGAATATTCCAGAGGCTTCCAGTGCTCCTTGATTCCCTGGGTCAATTCCTGAGGGCCTCAGCCATGGCCACTTTGTCCTGGGTGTGACAACCACTTCTCCTCCCTCTCCACTCCAGACCAAGGAGTCATCTGGCCTGGGCATTCTCTTTTCTAACTAACGCCCAGGCCTGCTCTGGCTCCCACCACCTGTCTACCTGCCACTTCTGGTCAGCTGCAACCAAGGCTCAGACTTGATTCTTATTAAAAAAGAAAGAAAGAAAGAAAGCAAAGTATAAAAGGATCCTAATTCTATCCCATGGGCACGCCACAGTTTTTCAGTTTCACACATAATTGTGCTGAATGGAGTTTTGACAACTCCACATAAGGCCCAGAAATGCACTTGATTCTTTTGTATAGGAAATGTGTCAGAATTCCTCTCCCCTATGTTGAAATGTGAATGGTTAGTCTTCCTACATTGACTGCTCCCAGGTGGCCCAGGGCCGGAGGGCTCAGCCTGCCCCTTCCTGTAGGTGCAGCCCATGAGACTCCTTCCCTGCCCCCAACTCCCGGCCTAGATGATGCTGCAGCCCCAGGCCAGCCGGCCACCACCACTCACAGCCCCTTGTTGTATACCACTGTCCGACTGCTTGTGGCCTGGGCAATCTCAGGCTCTAATTGGGAGGTTTCAATCTGAGGAGAGAGAACAGAGAGAAGAAAAGTAGAGAGTGGGGAAGGGTAGAAGGGGAGCCTGCAGTACCAGTTAGGACCACCCTGGGGTCCACAGTTCTGCTGCTCCGCACATCCCATCTCCCCAGCCAGGGTCCACATATTCTGGCTAGTGACATATCTTTCTTCTCTACTGCCCAGCCACCTTGGGTTCACATATCCCTTCCAGCCCAGGTCTGACTCTTTCTTCTCGTAGTGTCCATGTGAATGAGCACACTATACTCTGCAGAGTCTCCGAATTCAGGGTCTTCCCATCTCCCAAGGTCCTTGTCTCCACATTGCAGATACCTCCTCAGGGCAACCTGGGCTTGCTCACCACTCTGGGCTGCCTAACCCAGATAGACTCCTTAAATCCAAACCCCACTCTCTTGACTCCCACAGTTCCCTACCCTGGCTGTACCCCACTCATTGCTGCTCATCTGTTTTTAGACCACTGAAACCACAGGCTTCAGACCCCCCTCACCCCTCAGTCTTCACATCCTCCCCTCCAACCTGGACACCTGGGGCCATCACTTCAGCTACTCTGGTCTGGCCCTTCCAGCCTTGGCCTGATTTTGAGGTCCCTAACCGTACACTCGCCATCTCTTCACATGACCACCTAATGGAGACCACTCAAAACTCACTGCCCCCTGACTTTGGCTGAACCCTCCCAGCATCTGATAACAACATCTCTGCCCTACCACTGCCCGATCAACTCTGTCTCTCATTCTTCACAGAGGCCACCTTCTCTGCTCTTTTAGCCACTCCACCCTCAGCTCCTGACTCCTGAGCTAGCTGCTGGAGAAAAATCAGAAGGCATCAGAAGGAACTGCTTGGCTTCCCACCATCAAACCCACAGCCCACCTGTGTCTGCACCTGGCTCTACACCTCCCACATGCACCCCTCAGCAGCTGTCCCTTCTGGATGTCCTTCCCCTTTTTCATCTTTGCTGCCCAATGACTCCTGCCCCTCAGTCTCCACACAAGACGACAACCTTCAGTTTGTCGTCTCGTGCCAGGTTTCATTACTGTCTGGTGTCTCTCCTCCCAGGCAGCCACATTTCTTTAAATTGTTTACCCTGGTTATGTTTACCTCCTTAACTCTCACTGACTGTTCAACCTAAAGCAAATTTGGCTTTTGTTTCCACTGCCACCCCTTATTTTTCAACATCCTCTGAGTGCTTCCAGGGTCTTTGGGGCTCTGTCTGGCTGGGCCCCTGGGTGACGGCCATGACTGAGGTGTCTACAGCCACAGTTCTTCTCCGAGCCTCAGGCCCCCAGCCAACTCCTGTCTCATGGGCACAAGAACTCAACCCTGCTAAAACGGAACTGAGTTCACCATCTCCCCTGCTCCCAGCCTAGCTCCCCATCTTAGGGAATGAGACTACTATCCAATGGCTTTCTGTTCAAAGACCTTGGGCTTTCTCGCCTCTTCTTTCCTTCCCTCCCCATGAGGTCTCATCTGCTTCAGCCCATCCTCCCATCACAGCCAGGGCTGGCTTCCTAAACCTCGGGTTTGATGGTTACTTTCCTTACCATAAAATGACTCAGTAGCACCCACTGCCCTCAGGTATCAAATCTTCGGCACTTCCAGGCCCTGCCTATCCCGTGCCTCCTTTTCCTTGTACTGAATACACAGGACACATGTACTTATTTGGGTTCCTTGGACACAGTGAGATATTCTCCCCTTCTGCCCAAGTCTTTGTCTGAGCTGTCCCCTCTGCTAGAGATGCCTTCCCACCTCCACTCCTGCCCCACTCTCTTTTTCCATCTTCAGTCAGCTTTCACGGCTCAGTTACAGACCTTTCCTCATCCAAGCTGGGGATGGCCACCTCTCTGGCCCCAAGACCCCTGAACTTCTAACCAAGTTTTGGGGCTGACCACTCACTCATCCCCCACCTTTTCACATCAGCTCACAAGCTCCCTGAGGCAGTGGACCTGCGGGTCTTGTTCACCCCTGTGTCCTCAAGGCCTAGCACAGTGCTGGTGTTCTTAAGTGTTCAATTAATGGGTAGAAAGAAAAGAAGTGGCAGACACTGGGAGGATGGGGTCCCTCTGGCTACCACAGCAGCCCAGATGTTGGTCTTCAGCTCCAGGGACTGAACCTGAGGGAATGCCTGAGCCCCCAAGTCTGTGGAGGGCCAGAGAGAGACGTGCTCCCTCAGTGAGGAGGCTCCAGCCTGACATCTGCCCTGGACAGGGTTATAGGAGCAACTTAGCTCAGCTGAACTTGGTCCTAGGCATTTGCTGTATGTCAAGACATGGCAACCATAGGAAGTAGGCAGAAGATGGCACAGACTAGGATGGCATTCAGAGAGTGCAGAAAGCCCAGGCTGTGCAGGTCAGGGTCCAGACAAGAGGGAGGGTTTGGTGAGGAATGGAGTTGGTGGACATGGTGAGGATCCTGGAGAGGGAGGGCTCTTGCCCTATAGACCCTGATACCCCAATACCCAGACTCTGGCTACTTGAGATGGCCAATCAGATATGAGCTAGGCTCAGGTCCCAGGCCTCATCCCCACGCCTTTCCTCAAACCACCATCTCCCTCCCCACCCCTGCCACCCTCCACCCTGAGTCCCCTCCAGCTCTCTGGCTCCCCTCGTCCCCACATTGCCACTGACACAATGCACAGCGCCCACGCTTAAAAATCTAAATGCTTTTGAAAATGTTTAACCTAGTTAGACAAATTAGCAAAAATTTGTGCAAAACAATTTAGGTATTTAAAATATTCAATGTTTTTAAAAAACTGGAAAACTGTTCTTAGCTTTCAGCTGCAAAAACCAACAAAATATAACATCCCAGCAATCTTACCATGAGGTGTAACATAACCCTTCGGGAAAGCTGTTAAACAGCTACCGAGGCATCCTGGGAAATAGCACTTCATTTATTCAAATGCACATATGTCAGGCTTTTGCACCATATGTCATTCCAAGCTATTTACAGTAATAATTAAATCTTAATCAACGTTTAACCTCTGTAAAATGTTTGAAGAATCCTAATCACCCTTCAGACTGCACTAATGAAGGAGAAATATATAAACATAAAAGGAAAATGATGCATAGATATCACACTGGAAAGAACAGTAATTGCAAAATTGTATTTCTTTTAAATATAATCAGTAAATGATGTAAAGTAAGCCAAGGAGTATTTTAAGTTAAGACATCTTGGATGTCAGAGGTGTGAGCAGCTAATTTTGTTCTGCTACCCATAACAGATGTAGCATATTTTATTTTAGTGCCATTATTAGCAACTTCCCATGCCGGCTTTCACTGAAGCACTGAGGCCCGCATTAAAATCAGAGTGGCTGCTCACCGCGTGGCAGAGGACCACAGCCCAGGGCTGCGGCCCACAGTGCCCACTGCCCAGAGTGTGGACCTGGGGAGACTGAGGCCTCCTCCTCCTGGCATCCAGGCTCCCATGGGCCCCCACTGAGTTGAGGGTAGCAGGTAGGAGGGGAGATGCAGGCAGTGGGGCGCTTCCTGGGGGAGGTGGCTGAGGCACTTAAAGCAAGCAGGGGCTTGGGGATGAGCTGCCTAGGCCCCCTCTCATTTCAATTTAGTCTACCCTCAAGTCTGAAAACGTTGATGGCTGCCAACTTCATGCACTTGGGTGGGGCAAAGACAGACAAGACAGACAAGACCAGCCCGTTGCCCTTGAGAAATCCAAAGTCTCGGGGAGGAGTCAGATAGTGGGAGCAGATGGATTTCAGAGAGTCAAGAAAAATGCCACAGAACCTGGGGAGGGGCTTGGGGGTTACAACTAACTGATGAAGGAACAAGAAAGGAAGACTTCTCAGAAGAGGTGAGCCAGGAAGAATGAAGGATTTGGATGAGAGAGGGAGGGTAGATAAAGCTTGCCATGTGAAGGGAAAAGCATTAGCTTGCAAGCATGTGCTGTTTGGTGGTGGTGGGATAATGGTGGGCATGTTGGAAATGTGGCACTAGATACAGACTAGATGAAGATGTCAGCCTTTTATCTGAAGACATTAGGAGCCATGGAAGGATTCTGAGCAGGGATGGGTTTCGGGAAGGCCTCTTTGGTGGTGGTATGGAAGACAGACTATAGGGCAAGTGAGGGGCAGGAAAGCCTCAGGCAGCAATTGTTGGAACCCAGAGATGCTAGGTCCTTTGGATGCTGCCAGTGGGGGTGGACAGAAGGGTGCACTGAGGATCCTTTCTGAAGACAACATCCACGGGATGACCAATTCCATGTGGGGGTGAGAGGGAGGTGTCGAGGATGACTGTATGTCGGATGACTCCTAATTCTAGCTCAGGAGCTGGGGTGGCTGGTGATGCCATTCTCAGAAGCAGGGAATATGGGAGGGGGATGGACAAGGGTGGGCTCAGGGGTGGCCAGCCTGAGTCTCCCCAGGTGGAGAGTCCTGGGAAGCAGATGGGCCCATGGTTCCAGGCTCTGGGCAGGAGGGAGCCCGGATGTGTGTGCACAGCCAGTGCCTCCAGAGCTGAGGAGCTTGCCCAGGAGAGCAGATGGAGGGGCGGGTGCCAGGGCCTGGGGAACAGGCACATTCGAAGGGTGGTGAAGGGAACAAGCCCATGACAGCGGCCTCAGGGAACCAGCCTGAGAATCGGAAGCAGTGACAGAGTGTGCCCAGACACCAAACAGCCATGGACACCAGGCCAACAGTTTTCGGACAGCAGTCCTGCTGAGGGCTTTGCTCTTGGATGCTGGACAGTGCTGACCTCCTGGAGTCCAGATTTCCCAGTCCCACACTTGGTGTTGACCCTGGGCACAGCCTTGTACTTCTATCCTGGGCCAACTCAGCAGGCCATCTGTGAGGACTCCTCCTAGCTTTCTGGCCATGGCTGGGTCAATGACCTGCCATCTTCAGGTCTCCCGAGTGTGGGGTCATTGAGAACCCTCACTAGGCTCAGCTGGAGGAAGCCTGGGTAGGGACCCCTGTGCTGCCTGTATGATTAGCCCTGCTATTTTCTCCCCTGTTACCAGTAATTAAGTATCTCTCTTGAAGA